AGTGTCTTCTCCAAAGAGATCTCTCTTCGCATTAGGTGACCAAAATATCTGAGCTTGAGCTTCATTATAAAAATAGAATGAAAACCAAACACATACACAAATATCTTCCGAGATGTTGATGGTCAGTAAGATGTTAACATATAGGAGCATCTTCAAGGTGCTAGCCACCCCCAGGGTTGGTTGCCCCTTTTTCCGCCCTGTGCCAGTTGGCAGAGCCAGGTCTTGACTGCTTTCCGGAAGGACAAGAGAGTTGGGGCCTGCCTCACCTCTGGGGGGAGAGTATTCCATAGGGCAGGGGTCACAGCAGAGAAGGCTCTCTTTCTGGACCCCGCCAGTTGAAATTCTTTCATTGACGGGGTCCGCAGCATACCCTCCCTGCCTGACTGGGTGGGATGGGTGGATATAATGGGGGTGAGACGGTCCCTCAGTTCTTTTTGTTCAATTGTTTTGTCCAATTCTTCAGCAATCTCACACTTATTTTCATGCATCACAAAACAAACATACATTAAAACAGTTGGTGAATTCTATTCATTAGGATGGGCCATTCCCCATATATGGCCTCCTGAGGTATTGGGCTTTGATGTATTAAGTCCCCATTAGCACTACTGAAAAGAACAAAAGTTGTAACCAACATATCTGGAGGGCATTAGGTTGGGGAAGATTGCTCTAAATCAGTAGTTTTCAAACATAGCAACTTTAAGATGTGTAGACTTCAATTCCCCATGCTGCTGGGGAATTCTGGGAGTCCAGACATCTTAAAGTTGCCAAGCTTGAATAACACTGCTCTAAATACAGTATAACAGAGGGCAAATATAAATAGGAACATACATATGCATACGTGGTATGTGTGTGCCTTTGAGTCAGTGCTGACTCCTAGTGACTGCCTGGACAAGTCCCTGCAATTTTCTCAGCAGGATTTCAGAATGCCATTGCCATTGCCTTGTTCCTAGGGCTAAGAGGGTATGACTGGCCCAAGGTCACCCAGCTGGCTTCATGTGAAAGGTGGGACACCAAACTGACTTTATCGTCTATCATCTATCTATGCATACACGTGTCTCTCTCTGTGTGTGTATCTCGCACATATATTTCATCTATATGAAATGGAAGCAGGTTGGGGAACAACTTCTCATGGGGGCATGATGGCAATGCTGTGATATCACTGAAGGAGAGAGAACTGCCATTTCTGGTCTCGTGTTTCATTTTTTTTAAAATGAGATTTGAGCTAGGGTTGAAGAAAATGAATGCATTAAGCACTTATTTCCCTTGTGAAGGAGCAAAATAAAAAGTCATTGGTGCTAACAAATTTTCTTTTTGTGCTGCCAGAATTCATCAGTGTGATCTAGAGGTTTACCAAGGGCTACAGCAAGAGGGATGAGTTATCTATCCTGACTTTATAAATATTACCCAGGGACATCCATGGGGTGGGGACCAAAAATGTCAAAAATATCCTTTTTTATGTGTGTCTCAACATGTGTAAAAAAATGGGTGGAACTTTGCATCATTATGGCTTCCATCTTGACTTTTCTGACACACACACATATCCCTTGGACACCTCTGATGGTACCTGAACACTTTGGGGGTACAATCCATCAAAATCCATGGAAACTATGAAAGTGTTTTTTTTTTTTAAACTGGAGTGATTGTACATAACTTTTTTCAAAGGGGCAATTCCAAATAAGTCCTTTAACATATTTAACCTAACATTAGCTTTTTAATCATTACATTTAATTTAAAATAGGGAAGGCCCACAGCTGGCTTCTTAAGGCTTCAGATTTGGTGCACTGCACTCCAGTTCACTGGATTCATGAAGAGTCACCTAGTGTTAAAATATACACATACTGTTAAGTAAGAGGAAAAGATAGCAAATAACCAAGGTCAGAAGGAAAGGAAATGCAGCATGTAAATTGAAAGCCACATTATCAGCAGTAATGATAATGGTGGATATAACAGTTGTTTATAAGATGAACATTTTCACTCTTGGGTAGGCATAATGTGATCTAAAACAAACTATCTAAATTCAACTCACAAGAGAGAACAATGATGTTCCTTACTTAATGAAGTGGGCTGCATCCAAAGTTGCAGATAGACCATTACTGGCTAAGGTCCTAATGAGATTGTAGATGATCTCCTTCTCTTTAGATGGCCATCTGTCTTACTTCATTTATTTCAAACCTGATAAGCCAGCCCTTGTTCTCATTTCAGGGTGCCCAAAGTCCTGCCCTTGAGGCACCAATGTCTAATCCATGGACTTTCTCACGCTATCAGAAATCTGTCAGTCTTTCAGGTACCACTAGACCGGTGTTTCTCAACCTCAGCAGCTTGAAGATGTGTGGACTTCAACTCCCAAAATTCCTCATCCAGCATGCTGGCCAGGGAATTGTGGGAGTTGAAGTCCATACATCTTAAAGTCGCTGAGGCTGAGAAACACTGCACTAGATTATTGATTCCAGGAATGCCCAATGGCTCAATTTCTCATCCCCCCAGGGGGAAAGTAGGAGGCCACTCAATGGTGGTATGATCTCACCAAAGGGATGGGTCCTTTTTGCAAGTCTGAAGGTTGGTAGACACACCACCCTACTCCAACCTTTACAAGATAACAAAGGGGTTAATCTCCTCAATTCAGTAGATGCTGCATCACCAGAGATTTGGGGTAACTACAAAGAGAATTCGAGTGATAAGTCACTTAATATCACATAATAAGTGATATGTCATTTATCCAGAGAGAAGCTCAGTTCTTAGCAGTACTTGTTAAACACAGATTAAGACTTCTCAATCCAAAGAATATCACCTGGATATATAATGGATATAAAGTATTTATAATGGAGAAACTGATTAAACTTAGACTGACACAATCACATACACTTATACCTGCACACAAACTCAGAAACACATAAAAAGTAAATGGGGAAATTCTGGGCTCACACATTATATAAACTATAACTTGGTTTGCTTAGTTTTGCAATAGCATGCTGTGCAAACCCAGCTAACCACAGTTTATTCCATAATAATAATAATATTAATAATGAATATTATTAATGAATTGGATTTATTCTCCGCCCATCTCCCCTCAATGGGGAACTCTGGGCGGTTCACAAGGTACAACCACAGCATACATATACAATTAATATTATCTCTATCTAACATCTAACATTAACCGCTATACTATATAGCCAGCAGCGGTAGCTAGGGAGTCATGGCACACCCGGGCTTTCTCCTCCTCCATAGGTCTTTTTTTCCCGCCGGTTGCATCGGTCGCGTCCAGCGTCGGGTCCAGCACCGGTTTCTGCTCCCCGCACAGCACCGCCAGTTCCTCCCACCAAAATGGGAGTATCTATTTATCTACTCACAGATGGAATTGCTTATGAACTGCTAGGTTGGCAGTACCTGGGACGAGTGATGGGACCTCACCCCGTCATGCAGAGCCAGGCCCGAACCACTGGACTGCCGACCATTTCTGACCGGCAAACTCCAGCGTGATTAAGCCCTGTGCCAGATTATGAAATTCTGAAGTCCTTAAGCTATGATTAAAGAAATGTGTGAACCCAGTCCAAGACAACAGGGGAGGATGGCATTTGAGACATAGTTGCAGTGGAGCAAACTTAAAATGTGTAGACATGCCCTTGGCCCAGTGGAGAAGAAAATGGGAAAATTACAAGAGAAGAGAGCACAAATATTTACCAGTTCCTGAGAAATTATGAGATCTGAAATGATGAAGTTCTCAGTCTGGCATTTACAGATTGTCCTTCTAGCTCATGGAGCCCTTGAACCCTCAAACAGTCCAAAGCTTTTGCTGGAAAAGAAAAACACAAATAAGAAACACAAAGAACAGTGACACCATACCCTGCCTAGTGGCCCTGCATATGCCAATAATAAAAATAAGAAACATAAATTCAGGGAGAACGAAGGAAAGTAGAGCTAATTGCAGGTAGGAGGCTAAGAAAAGAAAATGATTTTTTTTTTCCCACAAAGAAGAACCAGTTTGAAAACTTTAACTGAGAAAAAGGTTATTCCCAATCATTAAGAATAAAAATTGAATCCATTATATTTCGAGACCAGGAATGCTTGACAGCCCTAGATAGTTTATTGCTGCCCAAAATGTTTATTATGCTATTGTTATTTAAAAAGTTAAGTGGTAGTCAAGCTGGTCAAATCTTGCCAGATCTCTGCTTTCTCATCTAAGAGCTCATGAGATTTTGGAACATTTTAATTGTCATTTTTTAAAAGTAATTGCTGAAAAAGTATTTTTCAGTCCTACTTGCCAAGTGTCACTCTTTACCTCTATCGTCTGCGGTACACAGAGAGCACCATGTAGAAAAGTATACTGGAGGGGCAGAGCCTCATATGAACCCTGGACAGAAATTAGTTTTTTCAATAGCTCTAAATGTGTTGCTTCATTATTGTGTTGGGTTTTTTTGCCACCAGGGCTCTGGGCTGGCAGATGCAGAATCTATGCTGAATAGCCTGATCACAGATTGAAGAATTCATCCATTCTACATCCCAATACAGCTGCTCCTGATTATGAATGTGGTTTAGACTCAATATAACTTTTCTTGACTTCATCTGGGTTTACGTTATTCTTATTGCTCACTTAGCGTTCCAGGAAAAGAAATGATGACGCAAGAAATTCCATGCACCTCAGAATAACATGGCATCTGAGTTCATCATTAATATAGCACTTGAACCCGGTTATTTAAAGTTGTTGTTCAAAGTTCAACTATCGGTTCTTCTGCAGAACATAGTCTGGCTTGGTGGAGGCTGATGCAATGCAGACTTCAGAATATCATAATCTGGAAGTTCCCTCCACTCTTTGTGGCTGTCCTGTCAGGAATCCGAAACAGAAGCTTGGGAATACAGTGCCTAGGATTTCCAGCCTGACGAATACACTTGCCTGAGAATTATGAGAGCTACCATATCACAGAAGACCTCTGATCGGGGAAGCCTTGATTAGAGGGTTGAACTAAGATCAGCGTGGAGGGATTGAAGTTGCCTCTGAGCCCACTACATGGGTCTCATCAGGTCGGGAAGTGAAGATAAGAATGAACAAGACTTCTTAAAGCACTTTGTTCATTTAAAATAAGGCTGCATGTCACTGGCCATGATCTCTCTGCTGACCCAGGTGAATTAGGAGCAGGGAGACCCAGGTTCAGGAACACCACAGCCATGGAAATGCATTGTGTGACTTGGGGCAGTCACTCCTTCTTAGGCCAACCTACCTCACAAGGCAGTTCTTGTGAGGAAGAAATGAAGGGAAATCTCCATGTAAACCATACTGAGTCCTGAAGAAAAGCAGGATATAAATCTAAATCAGTGTTCCTCAACCTTGGCAGCTTGAAGATGGGTGGACTCCAACTCCCAGAATTCCCCAGCCAGCCATGGAGTTGAAGTCCACCCATCTTCAAGCTGCCAAGGTTGAGGAACACTGATCTAAACAACAACAACAATTGAACCCCTGGAATACCACTAGATGGCACTGCCAAAATTCAGTAGCATAACTTTTCATGGTTTTGGGGGGGGGGGGAATTATGGAATAGGTGTGTGTTTTCTAATTTTAGATTTCTATGGCACTGTATTATTTCAATCTTCAGAAGCCATCGGTGAAAGGATGTACAGACAAATCTAGAACAAACATTTCTCTTATGACCCCTTCATCCAGTAATTTTTATTTCTACCAAAGATATAAACATTGTGGTTTTCCAATATGACTCAATGTCCCTGTCAATCCCTGATACAAATGTACTATCATTCAGGCACATTTGAAGCTAACTGAGATCCAGAAACAAGGTAGGAAATCACCGGACAGTGTGTGCACACAGTCCATACAAGTGCAGTCAACTTCTACACAATTAAGCACCATGTGCATTGGCCCACATGAATGGGCTCATCACTAAACTATAAGAATGTGTCCAAATGCCCACTTGGTCCACCACATAGAGAAGCTAACCACACATTCTTCATGATTGTTCTGCAACACACACACACACATACACACACCAGTATGTTATGTCTTTGTCTAATCTCTGTCAAAAATCTAATCATGAGTCACAGAGTTATGTCTAATAAGATTGCTTTCAAACAGGATGATCTCTCTTTAAGGCTCAAATGCCTTATATACACTTTACTTTATATATAAGAAAATAAATTCAAATAAAAAATTCAAATATAATGATATTACAAATATAATGATATTATGTATTTATTGGTTTATTTAACACTGAGCCTGTTGATCAGAAATGTGATTCTGGGTGAAGGGGTATTGAATCCTAGCACTTCCTGCCAATCTAAGTTCCCCTCTCCAAAGATGTTACCAGCTTATTTGGAGATGCTTGGCTACATTTCTACCATTCCAACATGGCTGAATAGCAGCTGTGGGAAAGGTTAGCATGTTTTAAAAAATTACAGATCCTCCCTACTAAGATGAGAAACAGGTTTCTAAGTGAAACGGAAAACATGCAAAATGAACACAGAATCCCTTTCTGTGCAGTTTATCAGCTGACACCCATTTCTCTGCCCCCCAAAAACCCAGGCAAAATCAGCAAGATTGAACATAGGGTTACAATTCAAACTATAAAGGCCAACTCCAATAATTTGTAAGGAAAAAAAAAATCAAACAGCAGAATACCACATCCATCACTTCTGTGTGTAAAATCTTGCAACTGTCCCTCGATATGGCCTCCTATTTTAGACTCTGCATTTTCTTGTTTTATTTTTTCCTTCTTTACTCTTATCTGAGAAATTGTGATTGTTGCCATGGATCATTGTTTTTCTCATAAGTTGTCAGCAGGGGGGTGAGGGAGGCCAAATGGCAAGAAAGAGGAACCAGAAGAACAAATGGGTTGGCAAGGGGCCAGACACAGAGAATACAGTAAATTACGTTGGGAGGAAAGTGAGACTGCACTAATGATTCCCCAAGTATTCATATTTCGGGGTGGAGAAGTAACACTTCCCCTGTTCAGGAAACAGTATGTAAGGAGCTGCCTTATAATTATTTATACTAACTGGAGACAGATCAAGGCCATGATAGGTTCTGAGGAACAGCCTACAGCAGTTCTCACTCAGGGCTGTCTGCAGAGACATCACAGAAGTAAGATTGGCACCACAACATGCAATCAAAGCCCTGCTCTGTTTTACATGCATGTAAACTGGCACCATCTATTTTGACCCCTTCTTTGTGGATACCTGGACTCACTTCATAAATACATAGGTTTAATAAAAACAAAGGTTTGCAAAATAGCAACGTTTTTACGACTTATAGAAATCTTCTGCCCTTCCCAAAAAATCAGTTCTTTGGGACATAAAGGTAAAATACAAGCCCAAGGTCTCATATATCACATCTTTTTCAGGTTTTATAGTACAGTGGCACAGAACTCATTGATACACATCGATTTGGCTCATGTATAGTTCTAAGCCAAATCATGGCTTGTCAAACCAGCTTTTGAGGCTTGGATTACAAACAAGGCTGATATACAAACAAAGCGATTCATATTGCATCTAAGCCTAATAGGGCCATGTAATCCTGCAATTTAGCATGGTCTTATCCAGTGTAGTTTATGGAATATGGCTGGATGCACAACTGGTTTTTTGGGAGGTGGGGAGGGCTATACATGGACAGCAGCTGGCTTGCTGAAGTTTGCATTGAAAAAAAGTGGTCTAGGTCAGGGCTAAGAAGTCGACAAAACCAGGACAAAAAGCTGTATTTGGTTTAATTTTACTTTAACTCTAATGTATTAATACAGTGTACATGTTCTCTTATTTAATAATTTTCCTCCTCTGTCACATTACAAATTGGTTACCATCTCATACAGCAGCGATGAGGATCCCACGCTAGGCTGGTTTCTAGCCTAGTGTAAATGGAATGATATATTGGTAGAATCCTAAGGTTTAAAGGAGTAATTCCCTGCATAAAGCAATAGCAAAGTCACAAATTTAAATGTATTATCTCACCATTCACTGATGCCAATACGTTATAGTTTTATTAACACATACACATATGCATATATACACACACTCGGCAGGTTAGCCTTTAGCGAGTAAGCGGTTTAGTCCCTTACTCATAAAATAGAAACGTTTTAAGCCAGGAAAGCACAACACAATCTTGTATTTTTTACATTTAGCCTAAACTGCCTTGAGTCTTTATGCAAACCAAAACTCTGTTTAAATGTTAGAATAAATACATAAATAAATGGATGGATGGTTCTCTGAAGCCTCCTCCAATCCCAACTGCTGAAACTCAGGGGCAGCAGTTCCTTCCATCTGAATGCAGGAAACACATGAAAACTGGGGGCAAGCAAAATCTCCGAAAGTCAACCCTGTTCCCATCAAGGTGGGGCCCAGGCCTCCCTGGGGGGGAGCTCTCCCCCTCCCCAATTGGAGAGGGCGGACATTCAGGGAAGAAACGGCCCAGGGGAAAGATTCTGCATCCCCTACTTTCAAGTTTTGAAAAGTTAATAAGGGAAGAGTGCAGTCGTCCCAAGTGAGTGCCTAACTTGGGGGTACTTCCCCTCCTGTGACACCAGGAAGTGCTGCACAACAACTCCTGTTATGCTGGATGAAGAGGAGGGGCACTACAGGTGTGCAAAGCCCCAAATTGGGGAAACCAGGTATACAGAACTGCAGCCCCAAAGCACGATAGATCTCCTAGACCAGGGTTCCTCAACCTCAGCAACTTTAAGATAGGTGGACTTCAACTCCCCGAATTCCCCAGCCAGCATCTTCAAGTTGCTGAGATTGAGAATCACTGTTCTAGACTCAACACAAGGCATGAAACATTCCCCTTCTAATTTCGATGATGCTAAGCAAAACCGCGGAAAACAACTCGATCTCATACCTTGAGAAACTTCCTCCTAAAATTAAAGCCTAGCAAAGTTTAGCCAGTTTTCAGCAGTCTTCACACCAACGGGGGAAGCTGCTGGCTCTCCTCCGCAGCGCCTCTCCGCATCAAGGAGCTGAGCGATCCCACGCGACTCACGCCAGAGAAGGGAAACCCGGTCACTTGTCAAAAAGTAACGTCGCGGGAGGAGAAGAGGCCGATTCAGGCGAGCAACTCACGTCCTCAGTCGGCGGCTAGCGTGAAAGATACTCCCGAGGGGAGGGGGAG